TATCACCAGATTCCCGCGATCACGGAAGATATTGCAAAAACGGCAGTGACCACCCCTTTTGGCTTGTATGAGTTCCTCCGTATGCCATTCGGTCTCCGAAATGCCGCTCAATCTTTCCAACGCTTCATGGATCAAGTTCTCCGTGGGCTTGACTTTGTCCTTGTTTACCTTGATGACGTTTTAGTTGCAAGTGCTTCTTCCGACGAACACTTAACTCATCTACAAAGACTTTCCGAACGTTTCGCACATCATGGTGTCACCATTAACCCTGACAAATGTGTATTTGGCCAAACTTTCATCGACTTCCTAGGCCACAGCATTGACGCCAACGGGATTAACCCCTTGACTGATAAAACGCAAGCCATACTGGATTACCCATTGCTACGATCAATTAAAAATCTGCGCCGTTTCCTCGGCATGGTTAACTACTACGGACGGTTTATACCTGGCTGTGCTGCAATCCTTCATCCTTTGACAGATTCGATCAAAGGTAATCCCAAGACGTTCATCTTCACTCCAGATTCCCAAGCAACGTGTAACACCGTCAAGCAAAAGCTGAGCCAAGTTAGTTCACTCACTTACTTGAGAACGGACGACAGCGCCACTCTCCTTCTCAATACAGACGCTTCACAATCCGCCGTTGGTGCAGTATTACAGCAGCTCGTGGATAACGAAATTCAACCATTGTCTTTCTTCTCACGGAAGCTTCAACCTGCCCAGACCAGGTGCAGTACGTTCGGTTGAGAGCTTCTTGCCATGTACCTGGCTGTAAAACATTTTCGTCACACTCTTGATGGTGGACGCTTTGTTATCTTGACAGATCATAAGCCTCTTGTGTATGCTTTCCGTGAAACTTCTGACCGTTCCTCCCCCAGAGTGACGCGACAGCTTTATTATCGTTCCTAATTTTGTGTTGCTATTTGCTATTTTGACGGTCCTAATAACCTTGTCGCTGACGCATTATCCCGTGCTCCCATCCATCAGTTTTTACGCTCACCCATTGATCTAGAGCAAAAGTCTTTTGCCTAAGCCAGTGACCCAGAAGTAACACAGCTTCGATCAAACACTTTGTTAAAAGTCTAGCAATTGCCTGTGCCCAATTCTGCAGCTAGCATCTACTGTGATATTTCCACCGGTGAACCTGGACCGTTTGTTCCACAGTCCTACCAGCAGGTGGTCTTTGACCATCTTCATGGATTGTCGCAACCCAGTATTCGAGTTGCCGTGAAGCTAATTACCGGCAATTACATCTGGCCCAATATGCGCACAGACGTCCGACAATGGGCCAAAACCTGTCTTGGTTGTCAAACTAGCAAGGTTCACAGACCCACTGTTACAACTCCCGGTACTTTTTCACTCCCCGAAGCCCGTTTCAAACACATTGACCTTGGGGTAGTAGGCCCGTTACCAGCTTCTAACGGTTTCACTTATCTGTTGACCTGTGTTGATAGATTTACTCGTTTTCCCCACGCAATTCCCTCACGTGATTTATCCTCTGAAACGGTTGCACGTGCATTCGTTGAATCGTGGATTTCATTCTTTGGTGTTCCAGCCACTGGCACTACTCACAGAGGATTTTAATACAGTTCCACGCTTTTCCGTGCCTTCAGTCGACTGCTCGGTTGTACTCATTCTCAGGCGACTGCGTATCATCCTGCTGCCAATGGCCTTGTCGAACGATTTCATCGACAACCGAAACCTGCCATTACAGCTTTTTCGCTTGATGTCCGTTGGTTTGAACGCCTTCCAGCTATTCTGCTTGGTATTCGCAATCACGTCAAATAAGGTATCGGATGCTGTTCAGCCGAACTTGTCTTTGGCACAACGCTCAGACTCCCAGGCGAGATGCTACTAGACTCCCGAATAACCGGTGAACTGAATCCTACGTCCTACGCTGAACGCCTTAAGCACAATTTTTGATCCGTTAAACCGACTCCACCTCGACTAAGCACGCGCGAGCAACGTATACATGCAGGCTTGCACATTTTTCCGTTTGTCTTTATCCGAATCGATGCGGTTCGAAGACCTTTGACCACGCCTTATGAAGGCCCATTCAAGCTCTTATCGCGGAAAACGAATTACTTCGTTCTAGATAAGAATGGATCTAAGGAGTCTGAGTGTTGAGCGAATTAAATCCGCATACGTCGAGCCAACTTCAGATGGTACAGAATCAACCACTACTACTCACAACCCTCCTTTGACTGTGCCGTTGCCCAATGACAAAAGCACAACCGATTCCCAAACCCCGGAATCCCTGTGCGCTCCAACAAGCGATCCTATCCACACGCCTTCAGGTCGTGTTGTTTCATTGCCCTCTAAACTAGCACAATCCGTTTCATGAATGACATATCGAGCTTTAACTAGCAGCGCAAGCTCCAGGAGGAGTTCTGTAATGTTTGTGATTACACCGTAATTTATCTCTGTTTTTAGCATTTCCGTTTCCGATCTCTTTGCACCATTTGTTTAAAATTCACAACTTTTGAATAGAACAACTTCGGCGCGCTCTCGTCGTGCCGCTTTCGGTTTTGTTGCTGCTTGTAATTGTGCTGCTGACACGTTTATCCATTACTCGGATTATATGTTAGAATCGCTATTCGCCATCGGACTAACCTCGACTGAAGAAGGAACTATAACGCAAGTGTATGGGTTTTTCCTCTATTTTGTGTTTTTGCCTAAGATTGCACATTGCCCCAGCACTCAAACTCAGTAGGTAGCGGTCCTCCACATTGGTATTAGGTCATGTCTACGACAACAGCCGAGTTTTCAGCTGAGGTTACGGACTTGGCAACAAGATTTTTGGCTGATTTTTGTCTTTTGAGGGCATTTTTGCCTCATGTTAGTCGCTGTGAGGAATCCAGCTTAACAACACACAGGGTCGTGAAAGAGGCCGCTTGGGTTGGATTTTTTGCGCTGTTGTGAGTTGTGATCCTGTTAATGATGTCATACTCGTTTCTTTTTTCTAAGAAAATGAACTAGTAGGCAAAGTTGATCTTTGCAGTGGGGTTCTGTCCGGTTTTATCAGAACTGGCCCAAGGTTCGAGTGCTGATTCAGCACATATAGGGCGTCATTGAATCACCTAGCCAGTTCGGGGCAGCTAAATTTCATGACTATTGGGCAAGTCCGGCCGGGGACCTGGCGTAGGCGAGTAGCTGAACTGCAATCATGTGGTAGTCTACAATCATTGAGAAGGGTACGCAACACCTTCTTAATTGGTATCTTGTCAGGTACATTGCATACTACCGCGTTATTGGCACGGCAAATGCGTTCGCTGACCTCGTGCGTAATGTTATCCACTATTTCATCTGCAGTTAGCATTTCGGGATGGCTAGCCAAAGTTTGGACGTTGTCCAGATTGCCCAATTCATGACTTTGTTTAGTAGCGTTGCAGGAGATGTAAACTCCTCTTTCAGCGAGCTTACCTAACTTTCAAGAACACAGTTTTAGCAGAGCTTCTTCTAGTGGATCTACAAGCCCTACTTTGCAATCTCGTATTTAAGATAAGCCAGCCACACTGACGTCAGAGGCGGCTTGCTCCGGTGTTTTCTGCTTGGCAGGTATGGATGACAAACGATTTTATCATGCTACGAATAATCAGTAAAAAGTTAAGTAAAAAGGTGGGGTAAAACCATGAACACGAGACACGAGAAAACGGATTTAGGAAAACGGCTTGGACAAAGATCCAAAGCAGCAAAAAGGATAGAACAGTTAATATGTGTTACATTAGATTGCAGCGGTATAAATTTCAAAGAACAGCGAGAAAATGCGCAACAAAAACGCACCGCTTCATGGTAACTTAGGAAAGATCTGTGCTCCATCAAAGCATTATTAATAGTAGAAGTAATTGCACAGGTTGGATGTAGAAGGCTGAGGACTGCGTCAGTGTGCAATGATTAGCTGTGACTTTATTTTGTGGCGAGTCACATCCGCCACCTTGCAGTGTTGTTAACCGGACATTTGTGGCTTTTTATGGGGGAGAACTCTTGCCAGGCGAAACCCCACCACGTCCTGGAACACTGTCGTAGCTTCCGTTGAACTGTAGTGCAAGTTGGCTATGCATCGTGTAGACCAATTTTGCACTCTATTATTCGCAGACGGTTGACAGCCAAAATTCTTTGTTGGTTGGCCGAATGGCTTAGTACTGATCCGGCAGCAGTCGTTGAAGCCGGTCATTGATGCAAAAGGTTCGAAGAGTCGAGCGATAAATGCAGCCGATGAGTAAACACATTGTTAATAGAGGCCGGCTTTTCTGTTATATTCTTGTTCGGTTCGCAAACCGCGTCCAGCTATCCACGCTGGACTTGTCGTGGGGACGGTGAGTGAAGTTGTCTTTTGCGGCTGAATATGTCCATAATAGGCAAAAATGCCATTCACCGCAAATTGGCTTCGGAATTCCTTCAAATGTAAGTAAGTGTAACTGTCTCCATAGCCAAGTGAAAATTCCATAAAAGGCTGTCGGAAAATTCAAGTATACGAGCGCGACGCTGTCCGTGAAATGATAGCAGAATAGCTCCAGGTGACTGACGAATAGGAATGTTTGAGGCAGTGAAAGTAATCACGCCCGAGTTGTTTGTCTTCGGTTGGGGAACGGGGGATCCATGAAAATATATTATTCCAGATGAGTAACTTGTGCTACTCTGAGTACGGGGCGAGCTAAACCCATTTGTTTGGACCCCGTGAAGGTAGCGTCTCCAGAATGGCGAAAAGAGCTCCATTTGGAACGAAGTGTGGGTTCTTCATTTCCCGGAGAAACGACCAAGCGTTTGAGGATAGGTCGACCAGTCCCAGTGAATAAATCTTCTTGTTTTATCGGATGTAACTGTGGGAATATCGGGAAAACGGGCAACGGACAAGAGGCCGCCAAACAGAGAGACAGCGATGAAGCAAGAAGCACTAACACAGACTGGTGGCGCGCACCGGTGCCTATGATACCTTAAAACTTATGTACATTTGTTTAGTATACATGATTTGCAAGCTCGTTCTTATATTCGTTGCTAATGTGACTCACTGTACAACTACTAGGTAGGAAGAAGGTTCTGCACGCGCAGCGTCAAGAGACCAATATAACAAAGTGTCTTGACAAAAGTTGAGCGAATAATACGATTTTGGGGAAACAAGTAAACCGATGACGACGGCAGCAATCCGAATGCGAGAGGCATCTTAGGTAAAACGAAGAACAACTAGGTTGAGACCGAATGCGGGAGCAAAATAGGTAAAGCAACGTTCCAAGAGGAAGAAGAAATTCAAGGAATCGGCTAGGAGCCGATGAATGCTGACGATAGTGCGAGGCGTAATTCGTAAGAGTAATTACGCTAAAGCGCTCATGATTCCACAGTCCAAAAGCTGTCAGGCTCTAGATAAATGTGCACAGGGGCCAAAGCTGCCGTACAGTGGGAGTCCTTACGACACCTGCGGTCTTAATAATAGACAAAGACGAAAATAAGCTAATGAGCATAGGAATAGGAAAAGTGGTAAGCAGAGCATACTAATGGAAGTACTAGTCAAGAAACACTTAGCAATGGTCCGAGTGCCGCTAATAATCAGGAGCGAGCTCGGAGCGAAGGAGACCATGCGCACGAGGATAACTTGGATAGATGCAATGTGTGTAAGCCATGGGAATAAAAGTGGAGCACAATAGGAGAGAAGACCATGGATAATAGATAAATGTAGACAGAAGTAGACAGACGGGTCAGGTGAGACAATATCACGACAGGGCAGTAAAGCCGGCCGGCCGTTTTAAATAGGAATGGAAACAGGAAACGATAGAAAAGGTTGGTCTGGATGCGAAAGGATTACCGTTAAAGCGTGGCAAGGCTCACAAGCCTCTTTATCTAATGTATACAGAACCATTAGGTCGGCCGCACCAAGAGAATCGTTGTCTCAGAAGTCCAAATGTATTCATTGAGTATGAGGTCGACTAAGCGTGACTGGATTAATCGGCGTTTTGGGGCTAGGCGTATAACGAAGGTAAGAAAAGGCTATAACACTAACGCGGGAAATAGT